CGTCACAAATGGAGTGAAAGCACTACTGAAAGGAACATCATTAGAGGGTATGGGGTTCCACATGAGCGATCAGGAGATACGAAAGGAGTGGACGTGATGAGGGCAATATCAATATATGTAACGTATATGTACAGACTATAACAATTACATGGATGTATGTAGCAAACGCACGCGCTGGGATGAGCATATGAAGGTGTCAACGATCCAGATCCCCCAAGTCTGGGGGAATGTTGAACTTGGACTTATCCGGTCCGGACTACACGAGGCTATGCGTCTCCTAGCGCTTAGCTGTAGTCGCTTATGTAGTATGTTACCATATTTGGGACTCTCTGCTCGTGTACTATAGCTATGCTTCCGGACTCTTCTGGTACTGTCTAGGACAATCCGTACTACTCCAGAATGGTCTAGACAGGTCTATGCCTTACTCATCTCTTACTCATCCTATGGTGCGATACGTCGCAATTCTTTTATCATTGTATTATTCATCGCACTATGGTACATGTGACTAACCGCTCTTTGATTAGTCATAGACACTTCTCTGTAGTATATAAGGGCTTCAGATTGCGTCCTCCCTCTTCAGTCTTTCCTTACTGACTGAAGAGTGAGTACTTCGTTATATCTATCTCAGGGTTAGGGAGGGAGATCGAAACCGAGCGAAGCGAGGTGAGATCGACCGGTTAGGGTTAAGGGTGGGTTAGGCGAGCTGAGTCAACGGGGGCGTTGTGTGCTACAACGCCCCGTCCCGTTTCGCCTTTTATAGCTCATCAGGACTCTGCTTAGTGCATCCCTTTCGGGAAGTGCTTATCTCTTTGCCGTCTGTCTATCCGACGGCACAGGAGATAAGGTCAATTATGCTTACGATGCCGAACGCGGCCGGAGCTTTGTTCCGATAATGACTAAGTCCGTTCGGACTATGTTATCATGATTACTTACTTACTAATCACCGATCGGACTTAATCTTATCGCAATTCTAAACGCGTATAGCGCTTAGATAAGATAGTCCGCCCTTATCCTTATCTTATCAAAGATGGAAGAGTGGAGACGCACCTGACTTGATGTCACGTGCTGTTAGACATGTGACTCAAGCGCCCTATTCCCTGGAAACTGGAATCAAGCCCCTTGATTCCGGGTTTTCGGCGGAACAAGGTCCGTAGCACCACAACCAGGCTGTTTCACCTGGAACAAGCTGGTGCCCTAGGTGCCCCACGACCTAGCCCACAACCTCCCTTTGGTTTGGAGACAATTGCTTGAGCCGTCATAGAGCTAGAGGCCATATTCCACTTTTTCAGATTTTGAAAATCTGACTATTTGGCAAATACCGATAGCTGAGTGCTGGAACAAGCTGGAACAAGGGCCCATTCCAGATAGCTCTTAGATGGGGCTATCTAGGGCACTTGAGAGCTAGTGAATAGCTGCTCTGGTTTGGGAGCTATGGGGGGTAGAAGGTGCCACCTAAGTTGCAGTGGTCCGCTTTTTTGGTGTCCTGGGCCTTCAGATATGGCCAGAACCTGGAACAAGGTGGGTTCTGGGATGCCCCAGGAGGTCCTCTATGAGATGCAAGTTGCTGCTTGAGGATAGATGCCTTGGTTGAGGAGGTATGGACCTTGTTCCATTTTTTTTCAAGGTTACATTTCGAGTATTTTGGCTTTTAAGGTGGCTAAAGGCTGGAACAAGCTGGAACAAGGCCCCAATTCTATGTAGAGGATGGCTAGGGCTACCAGACGCATCTTTTTGCATGGTCATAAGTGCTCTGGTTGAGGAGTTATGGACCATTCTGTACCTCAAAATGGGTGAAAGTGGCGCATTTTTGCATTGATGGCCCTGCAGTGGTGAAACAAGGCTGGATCAAGGTGCAACAATGTATCTGTATATGGAGAGGATATGGACAGCTACCAGTCGCATTTTGCAGCATG